ATCAGCGGGCCGTGAGAGGGAGAAAATGTATAATTTGTCACAGCTGTTCCTCTAGCTTTTTGTCACTTAAGAAGAAGGTAGTAGAAGAGAAGAGTCAAGAGTTACTGTATCAATTCACCCGTTTCTGGGTGAAGTGGAGCAAAAAAAATTGGTTCACCCATTTTTGGGTGAACCAGAACGAGCGGAGTATGGTCAATTTGCCAGACCCACCCGTAGGCACGGAGGGTGTGGTCTGGCTACGCGAGACTACATACAGACAGAGGGACAGACGGGGCGTGACTGAGAGTATAGCTAGAGTGGGGCGAGCTCAGGCTCGCCCCAATGAATGATAATTATGGCTGCAAATTTCTACCCGGGCAAAGCCCGTGCTTGCCCGGGTCCAAATACGCCTATGCTTGGTACCAGGAAACCGCTCTGTATTTCTTGATAGCAATCTTTCAGGTGACTACTAGACCCCATTAGATCCTCAGGATGCTTTCTAAGCTTCCGAAAAAGGCCTCAAGAAGGTAGCAAGGCAAGAAAATGTGTTTTCCCCCATTGAACTCTTAATAAACTTGACGTCCAACATGGCGGCCAATTTACTGTGTGGGTTGGATATACGGTACTTAAAAGTTATGAATATACTTAGCACGCATATCCTCTATTATTACTTTGATGTGAGAAATATTTTGGTAAATATATAGTTTATTCAACACTGCAATCCTGCACTGGCTCTATGTCATGTGATGACTAGTCAGCAGTAAGGAGTAGGAGAAGGGCTAAAGGCTGTTTCACAATGTTGCTCACTAGTATAGCACTAAGTGAGAACATAATGATTAATTTTTATTATAATTTATTTGTAGGTTCTATTCTCATTTTTAATACTATTAATGCTTGTGAATTTGGAGTACCTAATGGATTCACATCATACAGTGTCTTCAGATATGGTAGTTCATTAGCATCACAAGTGTATCTTGGATTAGAGAACTCAGCTTCATGTGGAGGATATCTGAGGAATTACACAATATGCCAATTGAATAGGCTTTTTGGTAGACTAATGACACCAGGTATTTTATCCATCTGGGAACCAGCAGTGCCTTTTATTGCTGGTTTAAAAGCATTTACCAAGGTAAGGAATAGAATAATCATTAATTTACTTCAATTGTATTATTGTAGATTAAAAGCTCTGAAATCCAACTACCATTGGCAGTGAATAACAGTAAGCTATGGATGGTACTAATACTTATTGACATGCAGTTATCTATAATTGATAATAGCTTGTGGTGTTGATCCAACAGTGGCCACAGTTGATCCTCCTACCCCTGAACCTGCTGATGAAATCATTTGCTTCAATTACTGTTTCCCTGGAAACTCTACAATATTAGTGAGGCCAGGGAGTGTTCCTGGTATATCATATCCTGATGGAATTGACTACACAAGAGGACAAATATTATCAGATAATACAAGACAGACTAAAGGAGTTTGTATTGGAGGCAATCATAAATTAACATTTGGCACTCTTGAAGTTGTTGAAGTAACCTGTCCTCTATCTCCAGCTAATACTAGCATTGGCCTGCTAGCTGGAGCTGGTATTGGTAAGTATGTGAACTATTGTATTGTTTTAATATTTATTGTTGTTATTTTAGAGCCAATTTATTGTCCTGAATTATCTCTACAGTATGGTAGCATTAATATCTCTGGTCCTTACTCTTATGGTACTGGCATTGAATACACTTGTCAGACTGGTTTCCAACTGGTTGGTGTTTCCAGTCAAACCTGTTTGTCCAGTGGAGACTGGAGTGATGAATTACCTTATTGTAATGTACTCAACTGTACTGACCCAGGAGTACCTAGTAATGGGAATCGTAATGGCAATAGCTTCCTTAATGGCTCAGAATTATTCTTTGAATGTGATGATAGTTATACATTGGAGGGTCCTGAATCCATTACATGCTATAGGGGAACCTGGAGTTATCCTGTTCCACAATGTGTTTTATCAAATTCCACATTAACTCCAACAACTACTGTACAATCTAATGATACTAGACCTCATGAACTCACAATAGTGATATTGGTCATACTACTAATAATAATACTCACTCTATGTGGCTGTACTATTTTGCTAGTGATTGTGTGCAGGAAATGTCAACCAAGAAAAGTGATATCTCCTCATCCTACATCCACACTTGAGCGTCAGTGTAATAATTAATGAACTTCATAATTATTATTTTCCTATTTTTAGTGACCAGTTTTAATCAGCCAACAACTGCTCCATCCATGTATCAACACAACACACAAATTGATCAGGTATTCCATAAAGAATGATACTCTTTTTTAATTGTATTTTAGACAAATAGAATGCCTGGTATTCCTAATAAAGGATTTGTGACAAGTGATGAAAGCTATTACAAGAAAACTGATAGTTAACACTGTTGGTCCTTTCCCTCCTCCTTTACCATCTCCTCCTCCATTTCCTTCTCCTTCTCCCTACTCACCTTCAAGAGGCCAATATGAAACTTACGAGAAAATTGTAAGCATCATGATGATACTAGATCTAATGTATATATTGGTTTAATGTTAATGCTATAGAGAGAAGATGAAGGTGGGGATTCTACTTACTGGGTACCAGCTAATGTTGAGGAAGAACTCTACCTTCAGTTGGATAAATGTAGAGTTAGGAGAATACCCTCGCCTGAAATAAAGTATATTAAAATCTACATGCATATACAAACATGACACATGCTATGATTGAATGTATATTCATTGACAGTTAACTTTAAAAATGTATCTTTTAATTGTAGAGTGTTGGAGTTGCTTGGTAGCGGTTACTTTGCTACAGTTAACAGAGCAGTGTGGCTCAAACCAAACTTAGGAGAGGAAGAGGTTGCAGTTAAGATCCTCTCAGAAAAAGCCGACAATGAAGACAGGATAAAGTTCCTTCAAGAAGCAGCTCTCATGGGCCAATTTAAACACACTAATGTACTAACACTGCATGGAGTAGTTACTACTGATACTAGTGTAAGCTACTCACTTGACAGTTATTGCAGCTGCTACTCCCTTTCCTCTGTAGGTTATGATAGTCACTGAGCTAATGAAGAATGGTGATTTGCATCACTGGCTACTGAAGACAAAGAGAGAGGGAGCTGACTTGCAGACAACACCTGGTGTCTTGCTTAATTTCTGTAGACAGATTTGTTTAGGGATGGCGTACTTGTCTTCCAGGCAGTTTGTTCATTGTGATCTTGCAGCAAGGAATATACTAGTGACTCATGATAATATTTGTAAAGTAAGTGATGGATACATTGATCAATTTCTGAAAAAATCCCTGTACTATAGCCCATGGTTTTTTTCCAAAAATGGCTCCGGAACGATCCCCAATTTTTTTATTACATATTTTAATACATATTAATTGTGTAGAAAGTTTAAGCTGATTCCAACTTAAATTTTTTGAGTTATGGCCAATTTTAAAAATCGGCCAAAATCTGAAAAAATCCCTGTATTATAGCCCATGGTTTTCTGAAAAATGGCTCAAAAATTACCCTCAATTTTTATTACATTTTCTGATGCATATTGATGTACTTATGCTGTTTAAAAAATTTGAGCTGATTCCGACTTAAATTTTTTTAGTTATGGCCATTTTTAAAAATCGGCCAAAATCTGAAAAAATCACTGTATTATAGCCCATGGTTTTTTCTGAAAAATGGGTAAAAAAATTACCCCCAATTTTTATTACATTTTCTGATACATATTGATGTACTTATGCTATGTAAAAAGTTTGAGATGATTTTGATTTAAAATTTTCAAGTTATGACTATTTTAAAAACGGATCAAAAAGAAAGAGAATTGATAAAATCCTTTTTAATTCCAGATATCTGATTTTGGTATGTCTCATGATCTTACCAAAGACGAAGATTATTACATGGCAGGTGAAGGTGGGCTTATACCAGTCAAATGGACAGCTCCTGAGTCCATCAAACAACACAAGTATTCATCAGCTTCAGATGTTTGGAGCTATGGCTGTGTCATGTATGAGATATGGAGCCTGGGACGCAAACCATTTGATACACTCAAGAATTAACAATGAAGTATGTATTGGGTTATATAGTGTCATTAGTTGATGATTGTGAATGCTTTTAGACTGTGAAGACTGTTAATTCAGGCCGACGTCTCTCTCCTAGTCCAGGCTGCCCAAAGAAGATGTATGAGATAATGATGAAGTGTTGGTAAGAAGATATTGAATAGTAATTGTTCATGAGCAATATCAAGAGTAAATGGCAATATTATATCAAAGATATTTACAGATTATACATCATAATAAATAATGCTTCTATTTTGTATTATATCAAATATATTTACACATTAAATTGATTATACATTATTGCATTGAAAATAACGCTCCCTTTTGTACTAATTTATAGGCATCCTGAGTCAAAGAAGAGGCCCAGTTTTAATGAGATAATGTTGCTATTGTTGAAAGATGACTCCACATTGTTATTGATACCAGATGAAGATAGACTCGCTCATTCTGATGCTGGTCAGTTAGGTGCTCCTCTTGAAGCTGGGGATAAGCTATACACTGACCTACAGTCAATGTACATCACTAACCACTGATGTACTAAACTGAGGATTATATATAATTATTATCTCTATATTATTATTATTCTTTATTTTATTTTAATTTTTATTATGAAGGTATTTTACTGGTAATTTCTTATCCATGAGACTGAATGTATTTTAACTCTTGCTATTATTATTTGCTTAATTTTTGATATGGTAACTTCCTCAATATTGTTAATAATCATGTGTCCACAGCTAGTGATATACTAATGATGTAAAGAATTCTCATTGTATATATATCATTAGTCTAAAAGAACAATGATCTGAATTCTTGTGCCCATTATAACTCCATACACAGTGAAAGAGAGAAACAAGCATAACAGTGTAAAAAATATTCCTGTAATTGATTTCACCATCTTGCAAAAATAACTGGATTTTATTAAGACTTATAGAGGCTCTCTCTACCTTTATAATGCTTCTAGAGAAGTCTTTAGACAGTATCTCTATGTTGTCTTGCTGTTAGAAAGCTCTTCACTTTGTCCCATGTTTAAGCCGCCATTTTGTTTGCCGTGACCACACCCACTACGTAAAGGAGCGCGGGCGAATGGCTGCTAAGGCTTATGTTATTTCTCTAATACAACATGTATAGAAGAAATGTAAACATACAAATTATAATTATTATACAAACATCGCACGCGGGTGAAATCAATAGAGGATATGCGTGCTAAGTATATTTATAGTTTTTTAGTACCGTATATCCAACCCACACAGTAAATTGGCCGCCATGTTGGACGTCAAGTTTATTAAGAGTTCAATGGGGGAAAACACATTTTCTTGCGTTGCTACCTTCTCGAGGCCTTTTTCGGAAGCTTAGAAAGCATCCTGAGAATCCAATGGGGTCTAGTAGTCACCTGAAAGATTGCTATCAAGAAATACAGAGCGGTTTTCTGGTACCAAGCCTTTTTCTATCTTTTCTCCATTGCTGCCAATGGAAAGTTGACGTCCAACGAACTATTTTTTTTTCTTGAAAGTTATTACGGTATGAATATATTTATTTTGCAATGAATATATTTATTTTGCAATGAATATACTTAGCACGCATATCCTCTATTATAGGAACGACCTGGGGACTACTCCCCCAGGCCGGTCGTTAAAAAAGAAGAAGGGGAGAAGAAGGAATATGCTGTTAATTTCACTGCTACTAATTCTAAGTAAAGTCCAATATATATTTTATACATACTTGATTATTTGTTTCTAGGTTCTACCACTAATGATGTCATCAGTGCTTGTGAATTTGGAGTACCTCATGAAGTAACATCATACACTGTCAATAGATATGGTAGCTCATCTGGTACACAAGTATATCTTGGATTAGAGAATTCAGCTTCATGTGGAGGATGCCTCAGAAATTACACAATATGTCAATTGAATAGAATTGTTGGTAGGACAATGACACCAGGTAATTTATCCATCTGGGAACCAGCAGTACCTTTTATTGATGGTTTAAAAGCATTTAGCAAGGTAAGGAACGAAAATAATCTTAATTCACTTCAAATTGTATGTTTTAGATTAAAAGCTCTGATATCCAACTACCATTGGCAGTGAACAACAGTAAGCTATATACAACTAGATCTATTATTGACATTGATCATTCTGCCTCTAGCTTGTGGTGTTGACCCAACAGTGACACCTCTTAATCCTTCTACTCCATTACCTGCCCGGGAAGTTATTTGCTTTCAGTATTGTTTTCCTGAAAACTCTGCTATATTAGTGAGGCCAGGAAGTGTCCCTGGGATTACGTATCCTAATGGTATTACCTATTCACTGGGCCAAATATTATCAATTAATACAAGGCAGACTGAGGGGCTATGTGTTGGAGGGAATCATAGGTTATCATTGGGTGATCTTGTTGAAGTAACTTGTCCTTTATCCCCAGCTAATCTTACTACTGGTCTACTAGCTGGAGCTGGTATTGGTAAGTATGTGAATTATTGTATTGTTTTAATATTTATTGTTGTTTTTTAGAGCCAATTTATTGTCCTGGATTATCTCTACAGTATGGTAGCATTAATATCTCTGGTCCTTACTCTTATGGTACTGGCATTGAATACACTTGTCAGACTGGTTTCCATCTGGTTGGTGTTTCCAGTCAAACCTGTTTGTCCAGTGGAGACTGGAGTGATGAATTACCTTATTGTAATGTACTCAACTGTACTGACCCAGGAGTACCTAGTAATGGGAATTGTGTTGCAGTTACAAATGGTTTCAATAATGGCTCCTTGATTGTCTTTAGTTGTGACAATGATTTCACACTGAGAGGTAGTGAGTCAATACTCTGCTACTATGGCTCATGGACTGCTTCAGTTCCAGAGTGCGTGCATATAAACAACACTGAAGCTCCAACAACTGTAAATAAAAGTGAGCCTTTATAACTGTCTGGCCAAAATTTGTCACCAGTACAAATTAAATATATAGATATAGTAAAATATTATGTAACTCTTTTTGACTAATTACTCTAGATAATGGAGTTGTTATAGTGGTTGGACTTACTGTATCAACTATTTCAGTAATACTTGTTGTTATTTTAATCATAACACTAGTAATAGTAATAGTTATGTTCAAGAGTAAAATAAATAATATTGAGAAAAGGTAAATTCAATTTAACTGTGTTATTAATAATGTGTGTTTTTATAGAAATGCTACTGTCAATATGATTAGAACAGAAGAAAGTCCAGCTTATAATGTCACGATTAAGTGAGAAATTTCCTCACTTTTTTCACATTCATGTCTTCTTTTATTTTTAGTAGTAACGACGATATGCAATATAATAAAGCATATATTGCAGCACAGTATGCCCTATTAGAATGTTATTGATACAGACTATTTTGTTTTATTTTATATGCAGGTCACTTGAGCAAGACTATGCAAAAATAGAAGATAGTCTAACTGATGAGCAAACTGTTAATTGATTAATTTGCAGCATTAAACTGAAGCCAAACAAATGCACAAGCAAAAAATATTTTTATTTTGTGTGAAAACATTTAATCAGAGAATGCACATAACACCAGGATGTTCCATGCACAATATTGATGCTATAATTAGACCCTACTCCATTGTGAGTATAGTTTATTTAACACTTCAATCTTGCACTATAGCTATGTGTCATGTGACTGTATATACTAGTCAGGCAGTGAAAGAGTGAAGAAATGATTTTTCTTACATTTACTGTTTTAGCTTTGATTGGTTTGACTACTCCTTGTAATGTTGGTGTACCTCATGAATCCTCAACTCTTAATGTGCCAAGACTTGCTAGTTCAACTGGTACGCAAGTATATCTTGGATTAGAGAACCCTGCCTCTTGTGGGGGATATCTTCAAAATTACACTATTTGTTACTACAATCGTAATGCTGGGGTATCAGTATATCCAGGAGAATTGTCAATATGGGAAGTAGGTCCTGGACTATCTAATGGATTTAGAGTTTATGACAAGGTATAGACTTCCAGTTTCTTATTTAAAATTTGTTTTTAATTAGATAATTGAATCAGTTCTGAACCTTCCTTTGACTATCAATAACAGTAAATGTCAGTTTCTTTGTTTTCATTAACTTTAATTATTTCCATAGCTTGTGGTATTGATCCTGTAGTGACACCAATTAGCGATGCACCAGATCCTGACCCAGCAGTGGAGATTGTGTGTATGTATTACTGTCTTCCAGAGACTTCAACAGTTCTTGTTAAACCTGGTAGTGTTGTTGGTATATTATATCCTGAGGGAGTTGGATATGGGAGAGGTCAAATACTAACACGTCATACATTGCAAACTGTAGGAACTTGTGTTGGAATCGACTTTAGGTTTTCTCTGGGTGATCTTGTTAGAGTGTCCTGTCGTTTAGTACCAGCTAATACAACCACTGCTCTACTAGCTGGAGCTGGTATTGGTAAGTATGTGAACTATTGTATATATTGTAATATTTATTGTTGTTATTTTAGAGCCAATTTATTGTCCTGAATTATCTCTACAGTATGGTAGCATTAATATCTCTGGTCCTTACTCTTATGGTACTGGCATTGAATACACTTGTCAGACTGGTTTCCAACTGGTTGGTGTTTCCAGTCAAATCTGTTTGTCCAGTGGAAACTGGAGTGATGAATTACCTTATTGTAATGTACTCAACTGTACTGACCCAGGAGTGCCTAGTAATGGGAATCATGATTTACGCAGCTTCACTAACGGTTCTTCAGGTGTCTTTTATTGTGACAATGGCTTCACTTTAAGTGGCAATAGATTAATCACTTGCTACCGTGGGATATGGAATGCCCCTGTACCAGATTGTGTACCATTAGTACCAACTACATCAGTTCCAAGTGAGTTAAAATGCTTGAGCACTTACACAAACCTGACAGCAATGAACATATTAAATGGATCTAGGCAACATAATCCCAGTGGGTATGTAATTGTCCAGCTTTCATTTTGAGGCTTTTATTTTTAAGGTATCTTCTATTCTTTCTGTTAATTTATTTAGATAGCAAAATTGGATTAATTGCTGGACTTGCTGTTTCCACTATTTTAGTTTTCATTATAACAATGATACTAGTAATAGTAATAGTTATTTTTAGGAATAAAATTAAGAAAATTAAAAAACAGTAAATCCAATGACAATGATATAAAATATATTATTTCTAATAGAAATTGTGATGTTGATATGATCGAAACAAATGAGAGTCCAGCTTATAATTTACTTAAGTGAGTACTATATGGCATTAATTCACTTCTTCTCATTCATTTCACATTTCATTTTCAGTAATGATGATGATGATGATGATGACATGCAATATAATCAAACATATGACAGAGAAATGAGAACATATGCTACAATATTGTATGTTTCATTAATTAGTATGTGGCATGCATTGTGATGTTTTATTCATCAGGTCACTTGATGAAAACTATGCCAGAATAGAAGACTATTAGCTGATGATTAAACTATGCAACTATTTTTTAGTGATTCACAAGTCACATTAATATACAGTGTTGTAGTGTACTATATAGCAAAAAATTTTGTCAAGGACTCTACTCCATTGTGAGTATAAATCTATAGTTTATACAACACTTCAATCTTGCACTAGATCTATAGCTAGTATACACTACAGCTATGTGTCATGTGACTATGCTAGTCAGCAGTAAGAGAGTGAAGATGATGCTTCTTACATTTACTGTTCTAGCTTTGATTGGTTCCACTGCTCCTTGTGATGTTGGTGTGCCTCATGAATCCTCAACTCTTAATGTCCCAAGAATTGCTAGTGAAAGTGGAACAGAAGTATATCTTGGATTAGAGAACCCTGCCTCTTGTGGGGGATACCTCAAAAATTACACTATTTGTTACTTTAATGTCAATGCTGGGGCATCAGTTTATTCAGGAGAGTTATCAATATGGGAAGCAGGTCTTGAATCTGATGGATTTAGAGTCTTTGATAAGGTAGAGCTCAGACTTTTAGATTATTATTTGACATTAATTTATTTTGATTAGATAATTGGATCAGTTTTGGACTTCCCTCTCAATCTCAATAACAGTAGATGTAAGATGCAGTTTCTTTGTTTCATTGCCTTTAAATGTTTTTGTAGCTTGTGGTATTGATCCAGTAATGACACCAATTAGTAATGCACCAGGTCCTTACCCAGCTGAGGAGATGGTGTGTATGTATTACTGTCTTCCAGAGACTTCAATAGTTTTTGTTAAACCTGGTAGTGTTGTTGGTATAGTATATACTGATGGAGTCAGATATGGGAGAGGTCAAATACTAACACATCATACATTGCAAACTGTAGGAACTTGTGTTGGAAATAACTTAATATATTCATTAGGTGATGTTGTTAAAACCTCCTGTCCTTTGTTACCAGCTAATACTACCACTGCTTTACTAGCTGGAGCTGGTATTGGTAAGTATGTGAACTATTGTATTGTTTTAATATTTATTGTTGTTATTTTAGAGCCAATTTATTGTCCTGAATTATCTCTACAGTATGGTAGCATTAATATCTCTGGTCCTTACTCTTTTGGTACTGGCATTGAATACACTTGTGAGACTGGTTTCCAACTGGTTGGTGTTTCCAGTCAAACCTGTTTGTCCAGTGGAGACTGGAGTGATGGATTACCTTATTGTAATGTACTCAACTGTACTGACCCAGGAGTACCTAGTAATGGAGGTCATATTGGCAGTATCTTTCTTAATGGCTCAGAATTGTACTTTGAATGTGATGATAGCTACACATTGGAAGGTCCTGAATCTATTACATGCTATAGGGGAACCTGGAGTGATCCTGTTCCACAATGCGTTTTATCAAATTCCACATCAACTCCAACCGAGACTCCAACATCTACTAATGCTGGTTTTACAATTATAGTGGCATTGGTCATACTGTTAATAATAATATTCACTCTATGTGGCTGCACTATTTTACTAGTGATTGTGTGCAAGAGATGTCAACCAAGAAAAGTGATATCTCCTCATCCTACATCCACACTAGAGTGTAAGTGTAATAATGATTAATGCACTTCATAATTATTATTTTCCTATTTTTAGTGACCAGTTTTAATCAGCCAACAGCTGCTCCATCCATGTATCAACACAACACACAAATTGATCAGGTAATTTATAAAGATTATACTCTTTTTCAATTGTATTTTAGCCAAATAGAATGCCTGGTATTCCTAATAAAGGATTTGGGACTAGTGATGAAAGCTATTACAAGAAAACTGATAGTTACTCTGTGGGTCCTTTTCCTCCTCCTTTACCATCTCCTCCACCATTTCCTTCTCCATCTCCCTACTCACCTTCAAGAGGCCAATATGAAACTTATGAGAAAATTGTAAGCATCATGATGATACTAATAGATCTAATGTATATATTGGTTAATACTGTAGAGAGAAGATGAAGGTGGTGATTCTACTTACTGGGTACCAGCTAATGTTGAGGAAGAGCTCTACCTTCAGTTGGATAAATGCAGAGTTAGGAGAATACCCTCACCTGAAATAAAGTATATTAAAATCTACATACATATGCATGCTATTATTGAATGTATATTCATTGACAGTTAAATCTTTATTTTAATTTTAGAGTGTTGGAGTTGCTTGGTAGCGGTTACTTTGCTACAGTTAACAGAGCAGTGTGGCTCAAACCAAACTTAGGAGAGGAAGAGGTTGCGGTTAAGATCCTCTCAGAAAAAGCCGACAATGAAGACAGGATAAAGTTCCTTCAAGAAGCAGCTCTCATGGGCCAATTTAAACACACTAATGTACTAACACTGCATGGAGTAGTTACTACTGATACTAGTGTAAGCTACTCACTTGACAGTTATTGCAGCTGCTACTCCCCTTCCTTTGTAGGTTATGATAGTCACTGAGCTAATGAAGAATGGTGATTTGCATCACTGGCTGCTGAAGACAAAGAGAGAGGGAGCTGACTTGCAGACAACACCTGGTGTCTTGCTTAACTTTTGTAGGCAGATTTGTTTAGGAATGGCGTATTTGTCTTCCAGGCAGTTTGTTCATCGTGATCTTGCAGCGAGGAATATACTAGTGACTCATGATAATATTTGTAAAGTAAGTGATGGATACATTGATCAATGTCTGAAAAAATCCCTGTACTATAGCCCATGGTTTTTTTCCAAAAATGGCTCCGGAACGATCCCCAATTTTTTTATTACATATTTTAATACATATTAATTGTGTAGAAAGTTTAAGCTGATTCCAACTTAAATTTTTTGAGTTATGGCCAATTTTAAAAATCGGCCAAAATCTGAAAAAATCCCTGTATTATAGCCCATGATTTTTTCTAAAAAATGGGTAAAAAATCACCCCTAATTTTTATTACATTTTCTAATACATACTGATGTACTTATGCTATTTAAAAAGTTTGAGCTGATTTCGACTTACATTTTTGAAGTTATGACCATTTTAAAAATGGACCAAAAAGAAAGAGAATTGATAAAATACTTTTTTAATTTCAGATATCTGATTTTGGTATGTCTCGTGATCTTACTGAAGACGAAGATTATTACATGGCAGGAGAAGGTGGGCTTATACCAGTCAAATGGACAGCACCTGAGTCCATCAAACAACACAAGTATTCATCAGCTTCGGATGTTTGGAGCTATGGCTGTGTCATGTATGAGATATGGAGCCTGGGACGCAAACCATTTGATACACTCAAGAACAATGAAGTATGTATTGACTATATAGTGTCATTAGTTGATGATTGTGAATGCTTTTAGACTGTGAAGACTGTTAATTCAGGCCGACGTCTCTCTCCTAGTCCAGGCTGCCCAAAGAAGATGTATGAGATAATGATGAAGTGTTGGTAAGAAGATATTGAATAGTTATTGTTCATGAGCAATATTATATCAAGCATATTTAGAGATTATACATCATAATGACTAATGCTTTTATTTTGTATTATAGCAAATATATTTACACATTAAATTGATTATACATTATTGCATTGAAAATAATGCTCCCTTTTATATTAATTTATAGGCATCCTGAGTCAAAGAAGAGGCCCAGTTTCAATGAGATAATGCTGTTATTGTTAAAAGATGATTCCACATTGTTATTGATACCAGATGAAGATAGACTCGCTCATTCTGAGGCTGGTCAGTTAGGTGCTCCTCTTGAAGCTGGGGATAAGCTATACACTGACCTACAGTCAATGTACATCACTAACCACTGATGTACTAAACTGAGAATTATTATTATTATCTCTATATTATTATTATTATTATTATTGTTGTTGTTGTTGTTATTTTATTTTTATTTTTATTATGAAGGTATTTTACTGGTAATTTCTTATGCATGTGACTGAATGTATTTTAACTCTTGCTATTATTATTTGCTTAATTTTTGATATGGTAACTTCCTCAATATTATTAATAATGATGTGTACATAGCTAGTGATATACTAATGATGTAAAGAATTTTCATTGTATATATATCATTAGTCTAAAAAAACAATGGTCTGAATTCTTGTACCCATTATAACTCCATACACAGTGAAAGAGAGAAAGAAGAAGAAGGGGATAAGAAGGAATATGCTGTTAATTTCACTGCTACTAATTCTAAGTAAGGTCCAATATATATTTTATACATACTTGATTAATTGTGTCAAGGTTCTGCCACTAATAGTGTCATCAATGCTTGTCAATTTGGTGTACCTCATGAAGTAACATCATACACTGTCAATAGATATGGTAGCTCATCTGGTACACAAGTGTATCTTGGATTAGAGAACTCAGCCTCATGTGGAGGATACCTGAGGAATTACACAATATGTCAATTGAATAGATTATTTGGTAGGACAATGACACCAGGTAATTTATCCATCTGGGAACCAGCAATACCTTTTATTGATGGTTTAAAAGCATTTAGCAAGGTAAGGAATGGAAATAATCTTAATTCACTTCAAATTGTATGTTTTAGATTAAAAGCTCTGATATCCAACTACCATTGGCAGTGAACAACAGTAAGCTATATATAACTAGATCTATTATTGACAGTATTCATTCTGCTTCTAGCTTGTGGTGTCAACCCAACAGTGACACCTCTTAATCCTTCTACTCCATTACCTGCCCGGGAAATTATTTGCTTTCAGTATTGTTTTCCTGAAAACTCTGCTATATTAGTGAGGCCAGGAAGTGTCCCTGGGATTACGTATCCTAATGGTATTACCTACTCACTGGGCCAAATATTATCAATTAATACAAGGCAGACTGAGGGGCTTTGTGTAGGAGGGAATCATAGATTATCATTGGGTGATCTTATTGAAGTAACTTGTTCTCTATCTCCAGCTAATCT